GGCGGGGGGGGGAGGGGGAAGCGTGGCGGAGTGGAGAGTCTGAGCGAGCAGGCGCTCTTTGCCTAGGCTTCTAAGCCTGTGATTTTTTCCCGTTCGTCTCGTTGTCCGGACGGCGGGCCAATCGGAGTAAGTAGGTCAACGCGAGCGGCCAATCGGCGCTCGAGGCCGGGTCACGTGGGTTTGTTGTTATCTATCAGCTGTTTTTCCCGGACGGCCGGCCGGCGCAGTGAAAGCCGCTTGGCAGTCTGTCCTCAGTCCCTCCCGGTCGCTCAGCTGTGCGTCACATGTCGGGCGCCGCGAGTCCTTCTCCTGTGCGGATCGCTGTTAAACGTACGAGTCTAACGATCCGGCTAGGACGCCGTCTACCATCGGACCCCCGTCTAACGTCGGCGCGCGTTAGCCACGTATTATTATGCTGTCAGCCGTGTGCACGCGAGCGCATCGCCACGAATCGATCACGAAGTGCCTCGAATATGCGGACGGCGTGACGAACGCGGGCGACGGTGCACGCCGCTTTGTTGATACGCTAAGTTCTGTGTTCAGGCCACGGAGGCCGCCGCGCGCTCGTCCCTTGAGCGCTTAAAGATCCTGATCGTACACGTACAGGGATCGCCCTATTACCCTACTCCCCCTCCCCTGCGTACTTTTAAACGCACCGCCACCGCCGTCGGTGGCAGGTACATAACGGCGTGATTGGTACGTGATTGGTACGTGACCGTAGGGAGCTGCTGGTCGTTACGATGACCTAAAGGGAGATAAGAAAAAAGGGAAGCGCGAGCCTCCTTAGGAATTCGCTCGTGCGAGCGGCGGCGTGCTCGAGAGTTACAAGAATCATCTTTCGGGAGTGCGCGTCGTCAGCCGTTTACCTCGCGTTTGGAATTTTAAACTTTTACGCGTTATCCCTGCGCGAGTGACTCTGTGAATCGCGTTCGCTGTGCGTTTTCGGCAAGTTCCACCGGTCCAATTCGTCTCTCTCTTCGAACACTTGTCGAACCGAGAGAGAGAGAGAGAGAGAGAGAGAGAGAGGGAGTGATAGAGCGTTCGAAAACGCGTCGCAGGACAGGGACAGTGGAAACGAGTGCGCCGAGTGGACAGGAGCGGAGTACGTCAAGGACAGAAGTGTAAAGTGTAAAGTTGATCGTGTGAATGTTTCGCGTCGCGTTGCGCGTCCAACGAGTGCCTCGCACAACGGGACTCCGCGCTCGAAAACGATCGATGAGAACGATCGAATGATCCTCCGCTACGAAGAAGAAGAAGAAGAAGAAGAAGAAGAGAGAGTGAGAGAGAGAGTGAGAAAGCGAGGGACAGGAATTGTTCTGATTTGCGCGAAACCGAGTGATATCGCGTCGCCTGGTAGAAGCAACGAATAATGTCGACGGGCAAGAGGCTGGCAAAGCGCAGCATAATCGGCACCAGGGTGTGCGCTCCCGGTCAGGACGGCAAGTACTACAGCGGCGCCATTTGCGCCGTGAAGACGCCGCAGACCGCCGAGTCACCGGGGCAGAAGAGCGTCACGGGCACGAGCAAGACTCTGTACTCCGTACGCTTCGACATCACCGGCGGCAGTCCGCCGAGTCCGAAGGAGTACACCGACCGCGATCTCATCGGACCGGGCTTCGGTTCCGTCACTGGCGCGCGATTGGTACCCGGTCAGAAGGTTTATCTAACGTACAACGGTAGGGAGATTCACGCGGAGGTCACGGAGCATCGCCAGCATCTCGACGAGGTGGACGTGGTCATTGCCCCGAACGGGCAAGAGGTGAGTCTGTCGGCAACTTACATTCTGCGTACCTGCGTACGCATATATATATATATATATGTGTGTTTGTGTGTGTATGTCGCCAACTTCTGATCGCCGCGCGGACGCACGTGTGACAAGTGGTCAAACTTTATTGGTGTCACTCGCGCGGAACTGTATGCCGTTAAATTGAAACTCTAAATTGTAAATTCAATTAGATTTGCGTATACATACATACATATATATATATATATATATATATGCACATCCAACAAACAGTCTAGTTATCGGTTTTTCGTATACACACATATACATACATACTTTCTAAAACTTTTGGAGTGAATCTTACTTTGATGATTGAGAATTGAGCCAATGTTTTTTTAAGACTGTGTGGCTCAATTTGGACTCTCTTTAGAGTGTGAAATTTCACTTGAAAAAATTTAGAGACTACACGTATGATGAGAAACATTGTTCGCGAGACCACTTATCGTAGATGTACCATAAATTGAGTGTTAAAAGATTTCACGGTAATTTGTCAAAGTTTAAGAGATCTATAGACATCCTGGGAGACAGTGAAATTGCATGAACAATTTGCTCGATGAAAAGTGCTGGTTTTCTTTTAGTTATGCCAACTTCGAGCCACATGACACGCGACGTTCTTAAAAACCATGGACGTAATAAGAATAGACTGTAGATTTCTATGAAGTTGTCTCTATTAGAAAAGAGAGTGAAGTAACTTGATTTATATCGTTTTCTTACTTTTTAAAATAGTTAAATAAAGATGCTGAGAGATGTTTCAATTCTTTTTAATTGGAGCACAGAGATTGCGTATCCTGAAACGAAATAAAAATTACAAAAAGTGAACAAGTTTATTAAGTGTTCTATAAGGTTTTCACAAAATTGTGGTAATCAGGGAAAAGTCGGGGAGTTTTACACAATGTCCTGGAAAATTAAAATTCTTGGCTTTAAAGAACTTTAATATACGTATAACGTCACACCTACGCGTAGTTTTCGAATACTACCAACTTAACAATTACAAAAGCAAGCAGCATTAATATAATATGCTACGTAAATCTGTCGAAACAAAATATTTAACAATTTCCAAACCAGAACGAAAGTATAAAAAATGTCAAAAAATTATTGAAAAATAGGGAAAAAAATTAGGTAAAATTTTGTCTGGAAGTTAGGGAAAAGTTATAGAATTTTAGAATAAGGGATTTATGTGATAACCGTGATTCTAACAAATTTTAGTCACTTTTATTTTCACCTCGTTTCAAGGTAACACGATCGACCTCCAAATGCAAAGTTCAAGTACTCAGAGTACTGTGTATCTACTACGTCTATGTTAAAAAAGCTGCGCAGTTCGAGTATATGCGCTTCGATGAGAAAATCGAAAGTCGCGGATAATACAAAGCAGACTCGGCGATAATAAAATCACGTTTTCGTTCGCCTGGGAAGCGCTAATTCGAAAGTAAAAGCCACGCGACTTCGCGCGGCGCGTCTCGCGGCGCCGGTTATAGACATCGCGTCGACGTGATTTGGGTATTCTTGGCGCGTAGCGGGTTAACGATCCTTAAGAAGATTAAACGAATCGAAGGCGTAATACCGGGCGTACTCGTGCAATGCGTACGAGATATGGCGTCATATCCCGGGGACTCTCGCTAGCACGAAAGACGCAGGCACAACGCGCTTGCGCGCACGCTAACCGCCTGTAAATCGCACGATGTATAAATCGTGCGTACGCCCGGCGGCTCCTCCAGAGTGAAATTCTACACACGCTCGTACAACGACAGATTCGAGTCGCAGAATCCGAGCGCGATCTAATTTCGTTAGGTGATACAGTACCGCCGACGACGAAATATATCGCACGATTTATGCCCGTTTCTACCAATGTAGATCAACTTCGATCATCTCGGCTCAACTTGCTCTCTTCATCTTTTTGTCTTATTCTTAGAGCTAGAGACAGAGAGTTAGTTGTCTACTCTCTAAAATCTTTCGAGTAGAATCTAATTCTAAAGAGTGATAAAGAGTGACAATTGAGTGGAGGAGTGACTCGATTTGTCAATTTTTCAGATTGAAATTTCACTCTTTAAAGTTTAGGTTTCACTTGAAAGATTTTGAAAAGTAGAAATCCTACGTAACAGAGGCTGGCAGCACAAGATTGGCAAAAATTTTTTTATCGACCCGTCATTTTCGTCAACTTCAGTAATTTTATTCGAATGAATGAGATAATACAAAAGTTCAAATGAGATATAGCATATATAAAAAGAGATAGTACGCGTGCTCTTTTTTTTTTCAGATCTTGTTATAGGGTCCGTGGTTTAACTGAGATTCGAAGCGAACCGCATTGGTAAAAGCGAGCGATTTAGACGCGCCGTTCTGAAAGCACCGCTCTTTAAAGCACGCTCAGAATCTGATCGAATCCGTACGCGCGGTATATAAAAGCGCTTTACATCCCGGGCGAACGCGACATCTCGGGCCGACGACGCCGGATAAAGATACGCGGTCTATTAAAAAGAAAGAAGAATCGTGAAACACGTCGCGGCCAACGGGAACGCCGATGCGCGCGTGTGTCGTTAATCAGAAAATTTAATTTTCGTGACCCCGTTCCTAAAGTGGACGATCGAGTGGCTTGCCCCATTTACGCGGTGCGCATGAGCACGATCCTCCCTCTCTCTCTCTCTCTCCCTCGCTCTCTCTCTCGCTCTCTCTCTCTCTCCCTTTTGCGCTGACGGGATAGATGACGGTACGGAGGAAGGGAAAAGCTTCACCTCGTCACGCGTTGCATCCCAATTCGTGCGCGCGTTGGTAGAACGCCGGCTCCGTCACCGGAGAATCCAACCGCCGCCACCTTTAACCCTGTTTCGCCTCTCGCCTTCCACCTTCGAAAAGCGTCTCGCTTCCCGCGATAGAAAATTCAGGAAAAGTGACGACGCCGATAGCAAACTCTACTCGATATTCGAAAGTTTATATTTCTCCAACGAAAAAAATGACTGTAATGATGAGAAAGTGACGAACTCGATAATCCAAATTGTACTTTAACGTATTCATCGCCTCAAGGCCTTTTCTTTATAATTTTCTATCATTTATAATTTTTGTTTGCAACCCTGTTTATCCTGAATTGACAGAAAGAATGCTAATTTTCATAAGTATAAATTCTTGAAATATAAATAATTTGTTTCCCCTCTTTTTTTTTTTGGAACAAAGATGTAGCTATTTCGAAATGCAGCAACTGTTTAACTTTTTTTCTTGTAATTTTTTTTATTAAATTTAATAAAAATACAGAGATCGTTAAAATCTCTTTTAATTCAAACTGCGTTATATTGTAGCAGTTTACGACGAAGTTATTTTATGAAATTAATATGATAGTGATAACACATTGATTGGATAATATAAAATGAATCGATGTAATGAAAATAGAGATTTTACAGAACAATATTACTCTACGTCGCGTTATCAATATCCTACGTTGCCGTGTCGAATACAGTGAATTCGCGAAGACGGGCCAAGAAACGTCTCGCCACGGACTTGAGACGGTAAAATTGAAAGTCGATAAGCGGACGGGTTAACGAGTGGGTTAACAGAAGGAAATGCTTCTCGTGTCGTTGACGTCACACGATGTCGTATACGTTGCGCGATCCGTCAATTTTCTCGCCGGAGCCGACTCGAATTACGCGGTGCCATCCCACCGCGTCCATTTTTGCACGCTCGCGAAATTGCAGCGCAAGTACATACCGCGATAAATGTCGCTTAACACAAAAAGACAAACAAATTGTTGAAGAACAAAAATTTCCAACAGTTAATGTAATTTATTTTACACTATTTACTTGTGCGCTAGTATATTTTCCATTAACACATGCAGTACAATAATTTATTATTTCATAAATAATATTTACCATAAATTCGACGATTTCTATTAGTAAATTAGCGGTAATAGGTTTTTTTTAATAAAATCGATATCATATTTTCATGGAGTTTCACGAGGAAAGCTCAGTAATAATTCATTAGATTAACATAATTCTCTTCTTAATCCCCGTATACAAAATAACACTCGCCTAATATCTTTAACAACAATCCAAAGTGTTTTATACACTCATCCATTGGAATTTCCCAGGATTGGAGGGACGGATGGGATTTATTTTTTTATCCCCTGGGTGTGCAATACGTATACATACAAATATGCCATTCCACTCGGTGAAGCGTGCCGGAGGAATACGCATAAGTGTATTCCTCGCGGTACCGCTACGTGGGCGCGGTAAGATTCATAATGAGAGGCACTGCGACCGGCGTGAGCGAGCGTGCGTGCGTGCGTGCGTGCGAGCGCGCGTGAGCGTGCGTGCGAGCGCGGCTCTATTGCGCGCGCGAAGCGGATACGGTAGTACTCGCCGGTGCACCGGCTACCGGGGTGACCCCACGTGGAACGCATTAACGCAATATCTCCGTACACCTCCGTTAGGCAGCTCAGGCGTGACCAGCGCGCGGCGGCTCGGCTCCATTTCGCAGAAACCGCGGTTGCGCCGTGGAAAAACGAACCGGATCCGCGCAGTACGAAGCGCGCGCGCGCGCGCGCGCGCGTCCGGTCTCTCGCGACTCTTATTGTATCTTCCCCCTCGCGCCCCCACCCCGCACCTCGCCCCCCCTCT